TCAAATGAGTCTTTAAATTTGCTTTATATTATTCATCAATCATTTGTTGCCACTTAACCATTAAGCTACGGGTACAATCAGATATGAATGGGCTACGTGATGGGAAAAGTCTAGACTTAGAATCAGATAGCTCTGACTTAGAATAGACTGTGACTCCAATAGCTCCCGCCAGTGGTTGAGACCATCTTTCTCCTCATGAGAAAGATGGTGACAGTGCCAAACTTTACATTGCTGCCATTAGACACAGCAGTGGTACAGGGGAGGATGGGACTGGAAAGAAGCCAGGATTTGTGTTGTAGAGCAGACAAAGTATTCAGTTCAACAAATGATCTTTAATTATTGTTAATAATCAAAAGGAGAAAAATTGCACAGTCTCCAAGCCTCCAAGGAAACCATGCAGCAAATTCTGGAAAACGACCAATTATAAATTCCTCCATACTAAATTTTTTTCCTAAGTGCTAAGCTATAAAAACAGCTCCCCTCACCCTCCGCCCCAGAACTGGCCACACCTTCAGAATAGTAAAGGCAGTGTCTCTTGAATTATTCACAGTCAGTAATCTTTCAGTGTGAGATATGCAGATATGGGTGCAATATACAAATTGCCCCTTTGATGAAGGGCAACTTCTCTTTCTCTTACCCATCCCAGGAAATTAAATCATGATAGAGTTTCTTTATTAGATAGAAAATGTATCTTTGATTAGGACTGAATGTGTGGCTGAATTTCACTGTATTTTTAAAATAAATTCTAACAGTATATAATATGACTCCTTATTTGTATTAAGTCATGGGACTATTTTGAGGGATATCTTGTCTGTCATTTATTACTGGATTTCTGTGAATCTTACCCTGTTATTTTGCGTTGTTATCTAATTTAACACTCTGGTCTGACCCTTCTTATGCGCATGTATTGTCCTTCAGTTATCTGCCTGGGACTGGTGATCTTTTGAATGCCTGTAGCTTCTGAAACACAGTAGACCAGAGTGCTTGTGAATGGATTAACTGCCTGGCTTTTGACTGATATAAAGATAGAAAGCATGAATGAGTTGCAGGGATAAAGAAAGTACCCTAATCTACAAACTCCAATCGCTTGAGAAGTAATCAGTCTAAACCCAATAAAATATCCATGAGGCACCCAACAGCAGCATGCTGTGTGCCAAAGGTTCACTGTAATTATTTGTTCAGCTGATATAAATTAATTGTGCAGTGTCCTTTTTCAGGAAAATACAAACCGACCAGTCTTAACAAATATAAGGTGAAGAAAATGAATGGAAAACAGTGAAATGGATTTAAACTAAGTATAAATTCAATCTAACTAATTCAGCTTTCTGCAAACAAAAAAATGGCCAATAAATAGGTCCTTAGTGAATAAATCAATCAGTGAGTTCAGACAAAACTACAGGTCTGGATTGCCTGTTTGCCTCATCTAAAATAGTCATAATAAAATTTTTCCAATTTTCATTTCTTCTGGCTCTGGAGTCAGAATAGCCATAGAATGATACTCAGGATATCATATGTCTTTAATGTGGCACTTCAGTAAATATGGCAATTTAATTAAAAGGGAAATCATATTTTGAAACAGCTATTGTTCTTCAGAGAGCACTAAAGTTTTGGTGTTGCATTTCTGCAGTTACTTACTGTTTCCACTCACCCTATTTGTGTGTGGATTTTTACAGTCACATGATATATCAGATTTCCCTTTTCTTCCCTTAGCTCCATTCCCATTTTTCCAGTTTGCTCTTCCATAGGTACTTCCATAGGTATGACCTGTCTTGAATCAAAGTGCTGCTTTTCTCCTCTGTGTACCATTCATCTTCCATATACCATTCATCCTGTTTGTTTAATGATGTCATCACATAACTGGTCACAAAGGCCAAATACTTGGAGTCATACTTGGTAGTTTCTCATTGCTTCACTACTTACATCAAAGCAATTCAAAACCCATTGATTCTAAGTCAGGAATTATCCCTGAGCTCCATCTGCTCTTCTCCGGCTCCAGTAGCCAGGGTTGCCTGTCACCATTGCCCCTCTACCTAATCTAATCACCTCCTCATTGCCTCCTGCTCTTTTCACTTTGGGTTTCCATTTACATCAGCAGTCTTCATCCATTTTTCTGCCATGAAATGCAATGTTCATATATGATGTTCTTATAGGGGCTACTCCAGGGTTGAGCTAGAGTAACAGTCAGTGAGGAAGTGACACACTTCACTCATGCAATTCCAGAGACTTATAGAGCCACGCATACTTTGGCCTCTGTCTTCTTTTTACCTTTTTCTTATACTTCTCTCCTCTCCACTCATTAATTCTGCTGGATCTAACTTTCTTTCCTGACCTTTCCAATTCTGTTCTCTACCATTCTTCCATCCTTTCGACCTCAGCTAAATTACATCACTTTTGGGTAACTTTTCCTGAATATTTTTCAATCTAAATTAAGTTTCCTTGCTTCTTCTTATTGGGCTTTTCTTAATTCATAACCATGTGATAATTGTTACAGTTTTGTTTGCAGTAAGCCTGATTTACACAATATTTCTAAGCTTTATGAAGGTAGACACCAAGTCCATTTTATTCACCATTGCATGCATAGCTCTCATGCAGTCCCAGGCAGATACTGGATACTCAATAAATATTTACTGAAGGAATGAATTAATCATCCCAACTATTAATGGTATGCTAGTTCACTACAGCATGGCTCAATCTGTGGGTTATGAGCAATTCCTATGCCTAAAGAGCAATATTGTAAGTAAGAGTAGTTCCATTATAGAAATACTTTTGAATGCTCTCAAACTTATTTTAAGAAATAAGCTTTTAGTAATGTAGCACTGGAAGTCATATATTACTGCCATATACATTAAGTCTGATCATGCACGCTAGGGATCCAATGTCAGCTGCCAGACTCTTCTTGTATATAGCCAACTCAGTTTCTCTCTAAAGCATGAAGTCCAGTATGTAATTCTCTTGCTTATGACCTTTTAATAGTTTCTTTCTCTCTTTCTCTTTCTCTCTCTCTCTCTCTCTCTCTCTCTCT